CTCTCTCTCTCTCTCTCTCTCTCTCTCTCTCTCTCTCTCTCTCTCTCTCTCTCTCTCTCTCTCTCTCTCTCTCTCTCTCTCTCTCTCTCTCTCTCTCTCTCTCTTTCTCTCTCTCTCTCTCTCTCTCTCTAGCTCGTTAAGAAAGGGAGCGGGTTCCCGCGATAGCGGGAAGATGCATTCCCGTTTCGTTTTTCGAAATGGGTCTCTCTCTCTCTCTCTCTCTCTCTCTCTCTCTCTCACGACTTCAACTGTTTTCCCGTTGTTTTTTTTCGTTTGTGTGTTTCATTTTTTTTTTCTTTTTTTTATTGTGTGTCGTCCCTACAGAAGCGGGGCCCGGCCTTGGCGCTACGACCGGGCCTTCCCTTGGCCGACCAGCCTGAGGCTGCGGCGCGTATACGGGAAGGCCCGCGGCCGAACACTGAGCGAGGTACTGGTGGTTTAAATAAGAATCTCAACTTATGACCTTTCATTTATCTGTTGTTTGCTAGGATTCTCTCATTAGGGCCTAACCACACCAATGTCGAAACATCACGAAATTCGACATATGTCAGGAGATTGGGCCTCGCCACACTACTCCCGGCTTGGCCATTTTCGGGAGTGCGGCATCGCCACACCAGCTCCCGAGTTCAAGCCGTCAGATTGAATTCGGGAGCTGTCAGAATGTGCCTCCCAAGAGCACTCCCGAACTCACCGCCTGCAAAGCTTTTTTTTTGAGAGACCTCCTTCGCAAAGCTTTTTTTTCGAGAGACCTCCTTCGCTCCTCCGAGTTTCAGCCCAGATTCGGGAGTGGAGCCAGAAGGGACAAACGACTTCTGCCAGACTGCTTCACACTGATCATGTCCATATGTGGCAAATGACATTTTCAGAATTTGAGCGCGTCCGGGTCGAGAGTGTAGTTTGGCGAAAGGCACTCCCGAGCGGGGTTTCACTTCCGGGAGCACTCCCGAGAAGGCCCATTTTCGACATTCCCTCTTTCGACGGAAAACCCCTCTTCGCCAAACCGCATGTCCAAGTGAAGAACTCACGAGTCCTATGCACAAAAGAGACAAACTGGGGTGAAGATAGGACAAGCGTTGGTGTTCTCTTTTTCGACATTAGGGCAAGAATTCGACATCCCATGGGAGGACTGTTGAAAATTTCCAAGTTGCAGGCTGGGAAAAGAGCCCTTCTCGGCAGGAGGTGTCGAAACCCTTTCCGAGACAGCTCCTGAATTTTTTTTGCATCTCGGATTTCGACATGCTGTGTGGCGAGGAGAAAATGTCGAAAAATCAGTTTTCGACATTGGTGTGGCGAGTCCCTTACGCCACACCAATGTCGAAAACTGATTTTGGGCCTCGCCACACCACTCTCGAAACGGGGAAATTTTCCAAGAGCTGTCAGACTTTTTCGAGAGTTGGGTTTTCGAGAGTTGCTGCGGCCTCGCCACACAGCACTCTCGAAAGGTTGATGGTGTTGGACAAAGAATGCAAAACGACAGTCGTACAGCTTTATTTTTTCGGAATGGTCTCAGGATAACGGCCTGACAGCTCTCGAAAATCGAGAGTCCTTCGAGTGCCCTCGGGAGGACGCTTGAAAAGAGCGGTGCTGCAGGCTGGGCGTTTAGTAGTTTCGAGAGCTACTCTCGAAAAGAGGTTCTGACAACTCTCGAAGGAGTTTTCGGGCCACAACTCTCAAGTGGCTGTCTGGCGACGGCTCCAACTCTTGAAAACCGGGTTTCAAGAGTGGTGTGGCGAGGCCTTTTTCGACATTTTCTCCTCGCCACACAGCATGTCGAAATCCGAGATGCGAAAAAAATTCAGGAGCTGTCAGGGAAAGGGTTTTGACACCTCCTGTCGAGAAGGGCTCGTTTCCCAGCCTGCAACTTGGAAATTTTCAACAGTCCTCCCATGGGATGTCGAATTCTTGCCCGAATGTCGAAAAAGAGAACGCACCAACGCTTGTCCTATCTTCACCCCAGTTTGTCTCTTTTGTGCATAGGACTCGTGAGGTCTTCACTTGGACATGCGGTTTGGCGAAGAGGGGTTTTCTGTCGAAAGGGGGAATGTCGAAAATCTCCTGACATATGTCGAATTTCGTGATGTTTCGACATTGGTGTGGCGAGGCCCTTATTCTGTTGGTCTTCCCAAAAATTTTCTGACTAGAACAAAGCATATCTTTCATTGTCTCAGGAACATCAGCAGACCCAGCCACGGCTCCTCGCGGTTAGAGACAAATGTCAAATCCAGGCGATATTCCTGTGAATCCCCACAGGCGTCGCATTCCCAATGTGACCAAACGAGAGAAAAGACAACAAACATTGCGATGTATCTTTCAACTGTGCATCTATAAATACACCCACGCCGTTTCTGCGGCCAGTCAGCAAGGGCAGGCCATAGCGGCACGAGCGCCCAGCCAGTTATGTTCCTGACTGGAATTTCGACGGGACCTGAACGAATCTGACCACATTTACGTCCGGAGCGGAGTCCAGAAAGACCTGAGGGGGAAGGCGGCGGTTCCAGAAAAAAGGAAGAAAGAAGGGGCCGAGCGGAAGGAACAGGCAGGAGGGAGGCGGAGGCACACGGAAGGCACACGGTGTAGAAGACGCGGGCACTTCCGACACGCACAAAGCGGACACTCGGCGCAAACGCAGGCTCGAAGACGCGCATACTTTTTTTTTTTGTTTTGTCTCGGCGGAAACGCAGGGTCGAAGAGTTTTTTTTTTTTTTTTTTTAAATAGAGGGGACACTCGGCGCAAACGCAGGCTTGAAGAGGCATGCACAAAAGACAAAAATATTGGCAGGGAATCTTCCATGATCTACGCGATTTTGCGCATTTGGGCCACACGCACTCTCGAAATGTGCCAAATGAGAATGAATTTCCCGCTAGAACGTGGCCAGATACGCCCGCCACGTTTTTGTCTTTACCACATTTCCAGAGAGTGGTGTGGCGAAGCCCTTGGTGAGTGGTGGATGGAGATCATGGAGGGGATCTACAAAAGGAGGAGCGCGTGCGGTGTCCGTCATCTGATGTGTGTGTTGCAGCGTGCGAAGAAGCGCGCCGCACTCGCAGTTCATTGGCCGTGCAGCTGCTCCTGTGGCGAGCAGCGGGCGCGGAAGAGAGTTTGGGAGAGGTTAAGGCACTTAAGGGGAGTCGTGGTGCACTCAGCACTGTTGCTGTCAATCTCAAGGTTTGCGAGGTCGTGTGTCGACAGCACTGTAGCTTGTGAGGAAGATGGCCGCGGCTATGGCGGCCCTATTCACACTGTTGCTCGTCGTGTCGCCGGTTCTCATCCATGGAGGCGCTGGAGATGACCTCATGACGGCAATTACGGCGGATCAGAGGTTGCATCGTTTCCATCAGGCTTTAATCACGACTGGGTTTTCGAAAGAGCTGATTAGAGCGGTGAACGACAAGCCGGTCACCATCTTCGCCCCCGTGGCTGACGCCGTCGACGCTGCCACCGCCGCGGGCTCGGTTTCGTGGGACTGCCTGACTTCGACAAAGGCCGGGAAAGCTGCTCTCAAGGAAAATCTCAAGCATCAGGTGGTGAACGGCTCGTTCTACACCGTGTGGAAGTTGACGAAGACGAACCAAGTCATCCCGGCCGACGGATTTCCGATCGAAGTAACGTTCGACAAGGCGACCCATTTGATCTCCTTGGACGGTTACGTGCACGTCGTAGAGCCTGAGGCGATCATCATGGAGAATGCAATCGTGCATCTCACGGATGGGGTCATCGTGACGGACAGCAATTACGCCCAGATGGTAGACGCCTGCGGCCAGGCGCAGCCCTCCGCTTCGCCTTCTCTTGGCTTCGCTAGCGGATTGTAAATCGAGGGAGAGGGAGCCGAGCGCGGAGGAGGGAAGGTAGTGAGAGATGGGAAATATTCCGAGAGCAGACAAGAACATGGAGGGCTGAAGAAGATGAGCCAAGCAGATGAGCTCACTGTATGGCGGTCCGCGTCGTTGGCACTTGGCAGGGCGTTCTGCAGCGGGCGGGGAGCTGGTTGGCACCCGGCGGCGTTGTCGATCCTTGCAGCCGGCGTCGTACGGAGGGACGTTAGCAGAACATACTCGAGCGCCGGCTGTCGATTCTTCTCTCTCTCTCTCTCTCTCTCTCTCACACACACACACACACACACACACACACACACACACACACACACACACATCGCGTTGGTCTTGCTGCGGCGCACGGCGACGGCCTCTCTGTCAAGTGAACACTGGTCGTGTGTTCAAGGGGCCGTCTGATCTCCTAGCGGCGTTATGCGTTCAAGCGGCCGTCTTGTCCGTCTTTCAAAGTAGTTATGGCGACATGCGTTGCCGTCGGATCGTGTTTGTTGATGGGTGGCCAGCAAGCTTCGAGCACTTCTCTCCCCAGCCTTCCTTGGTAGTTGGAGTTGCTGTCCCGATTTGCTGTCGATGGCTGCTCAGAGGGGGGTGGTGAGCATAGGGCAGACTGGCAACAATTGATTCACATAGCACTCCTTGCGGTCGGTTGCTGGCAGACTATGCTGGCACAGCACAGCTACGGCGTATTTTTGCTGCTATCCCTTGGTTTTGTCGGTGTAGCAGCCACGTGGCTTTGTTGACAGTAGTAATAAGCGGGATAGAGTTAAGCTACAAGCGGATTGGAGTAAGGCTACAAGCGTGTTCGAGTTACGCTACAAAGCGAATTCGAGTTAAGCTACACGAGAACTGGAGTTAAGCGTCAAGCGCGGATTGGAGTTGGGCAACAGGCACGCGACAGACGGAATGTAGCTAAACGATAAACAGAATAATAATTTATTTATTTATTTTGACCTCTTCCATGTGCAGCTCACAACCTTCGTTAAGAAATTAATAACTCTTCTGCTCGACATTCCCACGTCGTCGTACAGGATGATGTGTGACCGGTGCGTCATACAGGACGATGCAGCAACGTCTTAAGTTTTTAAATTTACATTTTTCTAATGTGTTTTCAGAGGCATCGTTAAGAAATTATTGGCCCGTGTTGTGTTTTCTTTTGCTTACGGGCTGACTCTCTCCCTCTGCTGAGTCTCCCCCCCCTTCCTCTCGTCTACCGTGTCTGTACGTGTGTGTGTCCGTGCGATTGTGCGCGCATGGGCGCGTCCACGTGCTATGGTTTGAGTGTTTGTGTTTGTGATCGTGTGCTTGTTAATGGGGATTGTTCCGATCAATAGGGTTGAACTGGATATGGGGAGTCTTTCGGTCGAACCTAGGCGGAAAAAAACGTTTAGGTGGGGCCAGTAAATACAGAGTGAGTCAGTGAGTGAGTCAGTGAGTGAGAGTGTGTGTGTGTGTGTGTGTGTGTGTGTGTGTGTGTGTGTGTGTGTGTGTGTGTGCAGTGTGTGTGTGTGTGTGCGTGTGTGTGTGGCACTGTGCTGAAGGTGCTCGTAGTCGTTTTGCAGGTTGCAGGTGGCAAGATGAGGAGACGGTCGACTCTCTCTCTCTCTCTCTCTCTCTCTCTCTCTCTCTCTCTCTCTCTCTCTCTCTCTCTCTCTCCCCCTCTCTCTCTCCCCCCCCCTTCTTGGTAATCTCCTGCCTCCCGTAGTCGCAGCATGCTTTATCCGCGGTTGAGTATGCTGGGGTAGTTTTGCAAACACACAGGAGTTATGGTTTTCATTTTGCAACGGTGATTTCTGAGCATACAGAGCGTACTGGGTTTTCAATGTGCAGGTACATTGTCTCTCTGCTGCCGGCCATCGACATCTCCTACCCCAAGATGTGGAAGGCAGGCCACCAGCGGCAGCCGCCAGGGATGCTCACTCTTTCCCACCTTGCTCCCTTTATCCCACGCACACACTTTATCTTAATTAATAATGGGTTAATTGCAAAAATATTGCTTTTTTCAATTTTGGCAGCAAAAATGTTGTCCGTTCGAAGTTTCCTTTGCAAAAATAGAGGTTTCGTTGCAACTAGTTTGCCATGCCAGCAAAAATGCGGCGTTTTGCCAAGTTTCACAGAAAGGGACCCGTAGGCCTCCGGCCTTAGGTAATCAGGCACTCAGCGTTCGGGCCTCAGGTACTCAGGGGCCTTGACCCACTAGCCAAGTAATACCACGACTCCGTCAGGATTTTGATCACGTGTGGCCTCGAGTGATGCAGTACGGCCGTCGACAACATCCGATCTGGACGGCCTGGTAGTTTCCGAGCGGGGATTGTAAAGATGCCCACCTCCCGTCCAATGAGATGCGTCGAAAAACGAATTTGGATATTATAGCTGGCTGTTTTGAATGGGCGGGAAGTCTCGATTTCATGGATTATGAAGGGGGGGGGTGATTTCGAGACCTCGTTTTTTTTTTTTTTGTCTCTGAGATATCCAACTTGAAATGTGAAATTCAGATATCGTGGTGGATCTGACAGGAACACTTCCTCTTCTGTCGGGTGGCCTGTCCGAGGCATCATGAGATACACGGTGATGAATGTATCCCCGGTATCCGTTACTTGTTCATCCTCGTGGCTGTGTTAGAGGACACATTTTATTGCCACGGTACATCACTATGCAGACTGACATGAAGGAGATCGTACGAACCAATGAATTGGGGTGCAACGGATGTAGGAGGCACCAAAGCACTCATCACTGACACACATGTGCTCGCAGCACCCCGTGAATACAGGCAACAAAAAGAAAACAACAAGAGAAAAACTAACATTCGGTGCCCTTTTTAAATGGAAGAAATCATTTAAACAATTGCAGAAAATACCGAAAATGGTGTCACACCTCGTGATTTACTTCGCTAGTGGGTCAAGGCCCCAGGGGCTACGTCCCACTACAGACATTTTACCACGCGGCCGCTTGGTTTCCCATCACGTGTAGCAAACGGTGACACATATTGTCCGTCGAACTTCAGGGATCTGAACGGCGGACAAGATTTGGAGGCCCTACTTCCGATATCATTCTCTCTCCCCCAATGACAGGCAGAGGAACCATTTTTTTTCACCAATTTCTTTCATTCTTAAGGAGGTCGTGAGGTGGGGGTGATATTGCATTGAAACGACCCTTTTCTTTTTAAGGAAAATAGGAAGAAAGGGGCCGTCCGTCATTCTGAAAACGAAATGTAAGTTGCCTCTGACTTCAAGGGCCGCGGATAACAGGACGTCCCACGAACTTCGGCGCATAGAGGTTTTCGTACGTATTGGGCTTGCATATTGGGTACGTGCATGGTATGGTGTCTGTTGTACTCCCGAGAAACAGACCACATACATGTTTACCGTGTTCTTTTTGAGGAGAGATTGACGTCCCTTCTTTCCCAATGAGGAAAGTCGGCAAGAGATGTGGAAACGTATGGGGTGAAGTTGCAAGTCGGCCTTTTCCATCCGGACTTGCAAGMGTAGCGCCCTCTGAAAAAAAGGGAGTTTGACGGCCCGTTTCTCACACTCCACCGTTATGTTGTCGTGCACGTCCCCATGCCGTTTGGCCTTCTGCGTTCCTCGTCCGCCATCTCCTTCCCGGTTCTCCTCCTTCGGCCAGTCATCTCACTGTTCGCTGCTTGTCCCTGAATCTCTCTGTGATCATGGCCTCTGCCAGTGATCCCGCGGGACTGTCCTGCATACAGGACTGGGGGTATACCGAGTCCCAGTATGGAACACAGGGACCAGACAATGCACCGCCTGCGGCGCCTGCACCCGGACAAGCAGGAATGTACACGCAGCTTTTCTCTGCATTTAGTCGGGACTGTGGGTCCTTGAACGGGACAGGGAGCGAAACCCAGTGGCCCTTCGAAGACGGTGTGGGTACACAAGTCCCGTCTTCACGGCCTTTGGGGACACTGGGACAGGTGGGCACGCCTGTCRGGAGTGGGGTTCCATCATYGGACCCYRCTYTGTCACAGGTTCCAGAACCGCATGATGTGACGGGYAGGGYGACACATGTCCCAGAAAGTGATTCTGGGACACCCTTGCGTGGCTTCTGTACACCGATTCAGCCCATTGGTGGTTTCTCTTTCGGGGTTTCGGGTGAAGATGAGCACAGTTTGCGCAGTTTGCGGGAGCGTCTAAGGAGGCGTGCCATTGCAATGGCGGAAGGGCACTCATCTACTCCACATTGTGCACAACATTTGTCTTTCCACTCTGATGTAGCTCCACGTGACAACTGTCGTGCTGGGTCTTCTGGTTTGTCACCCATCACTTCCGCCGACCACATTACCAGTGCTTCTCCTACGCAGAGGGGGGGGGCTGCCACCACGCCACCGGTGTCAGACGTGGCCGGAGGAGCAGGTGGGTCCTCTTCATCTCCGGCAGGACATGGCAGCCCATATAGCCCAAGCGTGGCATCTCAGCATCAGGTTCCATCGGAGTACTTGATAAATCGGCTAATTCGAGACATTGAGGATGGCATTTCCCCCGCTCATAATGCTGCAGACATTGCAGCTGCGGACAATGTCGGTGGCAATGCAGCTGCCCCTTCACAAACACCTCCTCGCCAATCCGGTGATCCGACGCCTGTGAATTGCACACCCACCCGGGCCAGTGCCCGCGGTGAATCTAGCGAGAGCCCTTCGGGTGTAGACCGTGAGGCAGGAACTTCTCCTGCTGCACGTCCCCAGGGACAGCAAGGTCGGGCATGTCCCTCTGAAAAGAACAAGGACCGTTGGGGGGAGGACGAGACTGCATGGTTGTGCCGGTTCCACAATGAGGTCAAGTTGCTGATGATTGAGGATACAGAGGCATACGGACGGGCAGGGGTGAAGGGGAACTTCTGGAAGTTCATGGAGCTGCGTATGAAGGAGAAGGGTTACAATCGCGATCACGAGCAGTGCAAGAACAAGTTCAACCAAGTGATAGAGTACTACCGGAAACTCAAGTGTCATGAGTGATGGTCCGGACTTTCGAGCTACTGGGGCATCGTTTTTTGTTTTGTTTTGTTTCGTTTTTTTTTTTCTTTTTTTCTTTTCTCCTTTTTTTTTTCTTTTTTTTTCTTTTTTTTTTGCGTAGGCGGGGCCGAGGCATAGCGGCCGTGGCACAGCGACGCGTAGAGGTGCTTTTGTTTTCTTTTAAATGTCCGCCGTGGCCGAGGCATCTCGGGCGTGGCCACGGGCGAGATGCCGCGGCCAAAAAAAAAAAAAAAAAAAAAAAAAAACCATGGTCGAGGCATCTCGGCCGTGGCCACGGTCGTGATGCCTCGACCACGGCCACGGTGAAAAAAAACAAAAACATTTGACACAAATATGGCGGAATTTCCCAAACGCATCTGACTGCAATTATGGCCAGACCATTTTTTTTCCCCTTAATCTGACCATAATCGCGTCCAGAGCTCCGTATGAAAAGTCCTCGTGTGAGTATGCCGTCAGCAATCGCAATTGATTTTCTCTTAAATCATTAGTAGACGGCTATCCCTGCGGCTATCGAGCACGCTGATGCCATCACCACCAATTGGTTCTTTCACTACTCTCGATTGATACTTCTGAATCAACGAACATTACCACAGTTTTTTTTTTTTTTTTTTTTTAATATATATATATATATATATATTTTTTTTTTTTTAATTTATTTTTTCACCATAGTTTGGAAGGAAGGAAGGAGTGACGACTTGAAGACGACTCGGGAGAGTCGCCATCCGGACGGTCTTGCAAAGTACAGGGGAGCGTGGATAGGGATAGGTTTTTATACTGGCAACAGACCAGGGTCCGATTATATCCATCTGATTCCCTCAGGATTCGAGCTCGTGATCTGTTCCTCAAGGGCCTTATGATGAACCCAGATTGGAAGATACTCATCCGACGTCGAAGTACAAGTAGTCTCAGATCTGCACAATGTCTCCAGTTAACGTGAAAGTGATATATCTGATACAATATCTCGTTACCGATAGAAGAAGAGAAATATAACACAATCAATTCCCACTCCTCCGGTCGTCCTCTCCTTCCACGTCGTCAATCAATAACAGAAGGATTGGGAATTGATTGTGTTATATTTCTCTTCCACCCTCTCCTTCTCGGGAAGAGAGCCGAGGGGGAATAGACAGAGGAGGTGGAAGAGAAATATAACACAATCAATTCCCACTCCTTCTCCGGTCTTCCTCTCCTTCCACGTCATTAATCAATAAAAGGTAACAAGTCTGATAAGTCCTGATCACTTAGAAGTGCCACGTGGCACGATTCGCCATGGAGACAATGAAGACAACCACCAGCCTGCAAGATGGACATCAACCTCAGGTAAGTACTCTGTCCTTCAATCATCCACAGATCCCGATCTCCCTCCTTATTGCAACCAGTCACCTCATGTAGACGGTGTGGCCAGTTCCATGTCAGCAAAAGAGACAGGTGGCATGCGCCACATCAACAATGAAGACAGGTGGCAGCACCACCAATGCAATTTTGACAGGTGGCAGCGCCACATGGATAATGTAGACAAGTGGCATACACCACATCAGCGATGTAGACACATGACATGCGCCACATCAGCAGTGTAGACAGGTGGCATGCGCCACGTCAGCAAGGTAGACAGGTGGCAGTGCTACATCAGCAATGTCTGGCGCACAGAACAGAAAGCGCCAGCATTCTGCCACAGTCCAGTCCCGCATCGAAAGCAGCATAGCAAGACTGGGTGCCAGCGTCCAGCCAGAGTCAAGCCTGCGTCAAAGCAGCATAGCAAGACTGAATACTGACCACCCGGACACCAAGCCTTATGTAGCATTTGGCAAAGCTGTCTGGGCCGTCCGGCCTCAGTTCCCCCGCCCACAATCTTCCAGATTGACTCACAGCCGAGGGCCTGGATTACATACAGTTGCAGTCTTCCCTTTTGTCCTGAATCTCCTGATGTCGTCTGGGTACCTGCATACAAACAAGTGTGTCCATCTGACCGGCGGCGTGGGCTGGGTACACCTTCAGGTCGACTGTTGGGTGTCTTACAGTTGACTTTAATCAACTGTCACTCTTCCAGGCCCTGAATCTTTACGTGGGGTTCTTTTCCCCCTTCAGCCTGGGTCTGAGTGCAGCCTGGCAAGGCCCTCAGACATTCCAGGAGGCATACTGCATCATGGGTTATTGCAGCCTCGCCACATCACTCTTCAAATGTGAAAAAAGACAAAAATGTGGCCGGTGCATCTGGCCATGTTCTGGCGGAAACTTCATTCTTATTTTGCACAGTTCGAGAGTGGCCTGTCTACGCCCTAACACAGTTACTACATCGTGAGTTCAAGATGGATTAAGGTTCAACGAACTACGGGCCTGGCCGCAGCACTGTCCAAACAAAAAAGTTCAAATGCATGTTCCCGCAGAGAGTGGCGACGAACTACGGGCCTCGCCGCAGCACTGTCCAAACAAAAAAGTTCAAATGCATGTTCCCGCAGAGAGTGGCAAGATGCATCCTTTCCTCTGAATAGAAACAGATGCATCTGGCCACTTTTTGGGGAAGATGCACTAGTGCTATTTTCGTTTCCACAGTGGTGTGTCGAAGCCCTAAGATTCCACTACCTCCTGTCTACCGCTGAGCACAGCTCCCGGTCATTGTGTCTGTATCTGGTCGAAAACTTGCACTACGTGCTTACAATAGCTATGATGACTGGGTCTTACAAAGGGAGAATGAGGAGCCAAAGCGGGAATGACAATTTGATATCGTGCACCTTTTCCTTTCCGTAGGTGAATGATAGGGCCTCGCTGAGTTCTACGAGCATTGTCAGAGAGGTGAGACTCTGGAAATACCGGCCTTCGCTGCACTTACTCTATAACCTATTACACTAGGTAAACTCTCGAAACCCTGGACGTTGCCCTTCTCTACAGAAGAGCTGCACCACTGCGCTACGGGACAAAGTCCGGCCGCTAGGACAGGAGGTTCACTCTCGAAAAACCAACCTGTCGGCGGGCAACTCCCAAGCACACTTGCAAATTCTGTTTTTGCAGGCGGGAGACTCTCGACGTTTAGAGAGTGGCGTTGTAGGGTGGCTTCTGACAGCTCTCTATCTCTCGATCGGGTTTCAAGAGTTTCCCGATAGAGAGTAAGTGCAGCGAAGACCCACTCTCAAAACTTCGAGAGTCTAGAGTAGTGCAGCGAGTGTACGGGCCGAGCTGCACTGCTCTCGAAGACTCGAAATGTGCAAAACGAGAGTGAATCTTCCACTAGAATATGGAAAGATACACCGCCATGATTTTTGTCTGTTGTGTATGTCGAGAGTAGTGCCGCGAGGCCCTATATGTGTACACAGTACACACAGACCTCAGTCTCCCCATGTTTATCTCTGCAGTCATGGTGTGATGGTGTGGTCGGCTTCGGCCGTCCGTCCTTCCTATTAGGACTATGAGAAGATGAGTGACTCAGGTACCTCCTTGCCACTCCTTTTTCGGCTTGTTTTTTTTTTTTTTTTTTTTTTTTTTTTTAACATTTTATTCCGGTTTACTCATCAATCAAGTTCCATCATCATCCGGATTCGAGGTCAGGTCTGTATTTTATCAGTTCATGGGTGTACCCACTGAGCTAGGCTCTTGGGGTTTTTCCCCTTGTTTTTCCCTTTGCGGACCTCTTGGTTTTTCTTGGATTCTCGGTTTTCCCTGCTAGATGCATTTGGTCGAGGCCGCGAACTTGGCTGATGATGCCTCGTTACCTTTTGTGAGGGCCGCCGGGCCCGCTTGCCGGCTTGTATAATATAAAACAGAGTGTGTTTAAAAAAAAATAATAATAATAAACTTAAAAAAGGAAAGAAACAAATAAGGGTAAAGTTATAGAACCTGCCCGGAGTGCGCGGGGAGAAATTACGAGCCCGGTGAACTTACAAAAGAGGTAGGTTGGGAGAGAGTCCCATTGGATTAGGGGCGTGAACTTACAAAAGGGGTAGGTTGCGAGAGAGTCCCGTTGGATTCGGGGGCCTCTACCACATGGCCGAGTGCCGAGGGTGACTCTCATATGTCTATAATCCAGCCTCTACAACAACCTTGACTTCAAAAAAAACATAATAATAGAATATTAAAAAAATAAAAATAAAAATAAAGGTGATCTTTCGACCGGATCGGAGGCAACCCGTGACGCTCCAGCGGCGCGCCAAGTGCGCCTGCCGTAGCGAGAGGTGACGCGCTAGATTACCCACCTAACCTACGGTCTTCCCCCGAACACAACGCACCCTCGTTTTGGCTGTATATGGCCCGAATATAGCTTGTATACATTCATTTTTACGGTGCGTTATGTTCGGGGGAAGACGGTAGTTTCACGATTGTTGGTTTCAACCAGCGGCTATGGTGAAACGGAAGTGCTCCAGCCTAGAAGGCTTTCAGGACTAAGGGCCTCGCCACACCACTCTCCAAATGTGAAAAAGACAAAAATGTGGAGGGTGCATCTGGTCGTCTTCTAGCGGAAAGTTCATTCTCATTTTGCACATTTCGAGAGTGGTGTGGCGATGCCCTAAGTCTTACTTACTACCCTGAATATAGTGCACGTACGAGCCGGGGCAAATGGGGAAAAAAAAAAAAAAAAAAAAAAAAAAAAAAAGCAGGAGCCGGAGCAATGTCCTCCTTTGCCGTGTCACACCTGAAGCTCAGTCACATTCAGTCACAACGATGATGGAATGCCCCTGCACGGGCGTGCAGGCGTTTTTTTTCCAGCTTACCGGGCGCTAGGTCCCACTTGCACGAATTAAGAGATAGAGACCGTAGATAGCCGAGATCGACGGCCGACATTCCCTAATCCGTGCAAGTGGGACCTTGCCCCGGGTTATTCTATCAAGGTCTGTTTCATTGAAGACAGCTTTCTTCCCATCCTTCTCCTGTTAAGTACGAATTGGCTCAATCGGACTAGCAGCCCTTTGGCCTTTTCTGAAATTTCTGTCCTGTCTGTTTTTTCTGGTCTACAGACCAACCCTAACACTTTCCCTTATGTCTGCTCTTAAGAAAAAATAATAAAAAAATAAAAAAA